TCCTCCGGTGGCTGGGGAGCAGCTGGGAATCGAACCGGCGCCGCGGAGGCTGTGGGGCAGCTTCGGAACCCAGCGCTCAACTGCTGCACCACCGGGGAGGCCCGGTTAATAACAATATTTATGAAGAATTCATACAATTACAACAAAGAGACAATCCAATAAAAAATGTGCAAAAGATCTAAATTAACACTTCTTCTAAGACCATATTCAGGAATGCTCAAAGAACTTTTTATCAGGGAAATGCAAATTATATCCACAATGAGATATCATTTCACATCTGTTGGATTGGTCAATAGCCACAAGGTCAGAAGCACAATGTTGGTGAGCATGTGGAAAAAAAAGAAATCCTGTACAATATTTTTGAGAATGTAAACTGGCAGTGTATCTATGGAAGTCTGTTGGAGATTTTTCAAAAAATGGTATTCATCTACCATATATTCCAGCAACTCCATTACTTCCTAGCAACTCAAAGAATGCAAAGAAACTAATTAGAAGGGACATGTGCACTCCTTTTTTCTCTGCAGGCTATTTACAGTAGCCATGTGATGGAAGCCACCTATGTACACAATGACCATAATTGGATATAGAAGATCTGATGTATATACAAAATGAATGCTACTCAGACATTGAAAAGATGAAATCTTTCCATTTGCAACAACATTTATGGAACTGCATGGGATTATACTAAGCAAAATCAGTCAGAAAGAGGAGGGTAAATACCAGATGATTTTATTCAGGTGGAAACAAAGGAACAGGGCAAACAAACTTACAAAAACAAACTAAAAAAAACCCCAACAAACCCTTGGGTTCTGAGTGTAGAAGTGAGGCTACCAAGGTAGAGGGTAGCAGTGGGGAGCAAAGGACCTAGGGATCCCAATGCACTATGATGATCTCCTTTTAGCGTAGGAAGCACACTCTCCCATTTCTCACCCTCACTTCTCCTGTCCCCCGGATCCGGAAGAAGAAAAGAGGGAGATAAAGAAACAGACCATTCAAAAGCTTTTCACAGTATCAAAATGTCTAACATAAGAATAATTGGAATTGCAGCAAGAAAAGAATGAGGATGGATTGAAAGTGTCTCTGAAGATACAGAGATAACTAATAAAACACTGAAAATCACATAGAAGCATTGTAAATACCAAAATTATAATCAAAATTATATTATATTCCAACCATTCAGACACAGGAGAGTATATTGAAGGCATCCATGGGAGCCCAATTATATGTAGAGGAAAACACAAGAATTATAGCATATTTTTCTTAATTTTTGTGTCAAAAGATAATTGATAGACATATTTAAAGTACCAAAGATAACCACTATAAATCAAGAATGGTATATACCATTGCTGTGATTCTTGTATTTTCCTTTACATATAATATGGATTTCCCCTCCCCTGGATACTTTCAGTATTACAGTTACCTGGTAAGGACTATACAGACTTTGGGTAATGCTAGGTGAAAGTTAACTGTACAAATTTTTGGCAGTTTTACTGGGTTCTTCCTCTAGTGGACTCAACAGAAAAACCAAGTTCCTCAAGGTTTTTCTACACGATCTCATCCCATTTACAGAATCCCATTCATACCAATCACAGCACTCACTTTAGCAGTAGAAACCTTGTGAGTTGAGAGGTCAATTGTTCTGTGATTCTATTAGAAGCAGGATGAGATTGTGCTTTTGAATTCCAGCACTCTAAGTCCTGTGGCTATAGCAGACAAGGGTCTCCTTCAGGACACAGATGGGCTTTTAGGATATGTATATGGAGCTAAGTGGTTGTGCCTTTATACATTCCCTCATACAGAGCACCGGATTCCAATTTCTCCAAGTCTTTGTTAACACTTATTATTATCATTTCTTTTTAATTGTCTTGCCATTACTAATGGGTCAGAAGAGTGTAGCTTTATTTTTTAATAATGTCATTTTCTGGATTTGTTATCAGATTGCTGAGGATGCTAAACTAATAGAATAATAAGTTGGGAAGCAGCTTCTTCTTGTAAGAAGTTTCTTTTAAGAAGAAACTTTTAGAGTTTGTGCAGATTTGCTTGTATTTATTCCTTTAATATTTAGTATAATACTCAAGTAAAACTCATTGGCCTTGAAGTCTTGCTTTTGTGGAGAAGATTTTAACTACAACATTTATTTCTTTCACTTAAAAAAAATTGTTTATTAAGGTACAGTTGATTTATATAGTTGTATCTTTGGGGGGTATAGTTCAAGCCTCCCTAAATACATATCTTCACACCATGCCCATCACCAGGGCCCCAATAATCCTCCAGAACGCTCTTTTGGCCTGCTATTTCCTGACTCCCACCTGAGACCTCCCCCTTCTGATTGCCTTAGTATCGCAAGGATTATTTAGATGACCTATTTTTTTTTTTTTTTGCTGAGCTCTAGTTTTGACTACTAAATATTACACCAGTTCATCTAAGTTGTTAACTTTTCATTGCTGCTTCCACAGAAATAGCATTAAGAATATGAAAGGGATACAGTGTTATAAATCAATATTACCTCAATGAAAATAAATAGGTGATTAGAACAAAGAAATCTATTTTGATCTTTCCCATATAAAACTGGACCAATTAAAAGTTCATATTTTGAAATGTGATTTCTGTTTGAATTAGGATGTACAATAGTGGAAAATATGGGAGAAAACAACTTTAAGTTTTTATTATTGCCTGTTTCTGCTGATACTTTTACTCAGTGAAGGTCTTTTCTTTTGCTTTAGAAGCTGAGGTAAGGAAAATGCCACTTGAGGCAATGACTGGAGAAGGCAAATCAAAGCCTCAATATTTCATTATTAAAGTCAAAACTATCAGAAATGCTCCCAAATATATGAAAGTTAGCATTCAACATGACAGTTATTGAACAAAGTTTCTCATGGAAATAGCATAAGGATCAGAAAAAAGCAAACTATCCCCCTTTAGTGCTCTAATTCGATTCACACAAATTCGGATTTATTTCCTAATTTGAATAGTTTCCCTCTTACATTCTAATATAAACAAGAATTTTGGACTCATGATTTCTCCACACTCACTTAACTTTTAAAGTTTTAAAATAATAAATGATAGTTAAAATCAATATAAAAGAAATATACATGCCAATTTAATAAATGAATAAGTTTAATAAAAATAAGAAATATGTAATATAAAATAAACATTAAAATCCTATTTCTCTCAGACCTTTACTTTTTGGAAATTATTTTAAGATTTTATGCACATTGACTTCTTTATTATAAAGTTTACAGCAATCCAGTTATATCTTACTATAATTATGCTTTGTTCTGTTTACCTGTGTCATCATCATTCTTTCTCTCTCTCTCTTTCTCTCTCTCTCTCTCTCTCTCTCTGTCTCTCACACACCCACACATACATTTGTTTTCTCATGTTGAATTTGTATCATATTGAGTTTAGATGTTGGTGTCTACCCTTCTTCTTTCACCTAATGTCATTTTAGTTTTTGCTTTTCTTTGATACTGGCTAGTCTTGGTAGACATAAAAATAGTGAAATATGAGGGATATTTTAATGGATATTAAAACAAATAAAAACTAAACTAGAGGGCCTCCCTGGTGGCACAAAAGGTTAAGCACAGCATTTTGAAGCTCTCTGCAGCCTCTGCAGCTTGGAATTCAATCCCCTGCCAGCCAGGCAGCTACCCACATGGCGTTGCAGACCTTTCCTGTCTGGCCTCCTGCTCCCCTCAGCAGTGTATTTCATCAGTCTGCCTGTTCTGTTCCCCACTCTGTCTTGGTGAATCCTTTCACCCCCGAACCTCTGGCCTGTACCCCAGTTCTTGTATGCATAAATAAATAAATCTTAAAAAAATCAAACTAGAAAAAAAAAGTAGAAGAAACATAAGAAGTACTAAAAATACTTGGTATTTGGGTGAAAATGTGTGCTGTGTGGGTGTTAAGGACAAGAAAGAGCTTTAGGGGAAATTTCTTTATAATTAACAAATTAACAACCGCTTCATTCTCTATTTAAAATAGAAACTTAAAAAAAAAATTTCCAAAAAATAGAGGTGAGGTGATATGCTCATACTCTGACCATACTTTATACTTCCTGTAGATAATATGATAAAAGATTCAAGGCTGTGTAGTTTGCTAAGTTTTCTAGACCCTTTTATTATGATAAACCTGGAAGTTTATTAAAATACCTCCCAAACCTGAAATTGCTAGTAGTTGCTTTTCATTGCAGTTTTGTCTCAAACTTGTAGGGGTATATGTGCATCACCTCATCTGTTAATGTTGAACAATGATAGACATAAGTGTCATTTTTTAAGAGCTGGATTTTAGTCACGTTCTCATTTTTAATTTTGTATCCATCTATTTATTTTTAATGCTTTTATTGAGGTAGTGTTCATTTACATTGTTTTATGTATTTAGAAGTGTAGGTTACCCCCGTCAAGTGTTGTTGCCATAGCATACTCAACACCAAAACACCCTCAGTCTACAGAATAGGGCAACTCTGGACTCTATTTCAAACCTATTCAATGTATTTTTTTCAATTCAGTATTTTAAAACCTATCAAGTTTCTGCTTTAATTTTCTTTATTTAAAGAGAAGTATTAATTTATACAATTTAAAGAAAATGCAAGAAAGAAATAGAAATCTGCTATTATTCAAATCAATCCCTACTTTTCAGTTTGCTATTATCTGACAAGCAATCTGTATAGTCAGTCTTAAGATGCTTGTAAAAATATAGGCTATTTAGTATATTGACATTTCTCTAATTTTGCTACATATGTACACACACACACGTAATGATCTATCTTCATTGTATAAGAAGAAAGTATGTATATTTCATGGTAGGTAGAATATGAATATTTCCCCCTTTCCATTATTCTATGATTTTGAAAATCACAATGTTAATTTCCTAATCTCATGAGATTCTGAGATGGCCATCTTTTGCAAGCTTTATTATAACTGCTAGATTTCAGGTTTGAGTTGATCTTTCATCCATAAAATTTATCATTTGAGTTGTCTGTACACTTATGATGCTGATAGAGTCAGAAGTGGAAACTTTGTGGGAATGTTGAACGTCATATGGTCATTGGTTCTCTTTCTTCTGACATAGTCTCTGAGGCCAGTCACACATCAAGGGCCTCCTCACCTAGAGCAGAGGAGCAAGGCCAGCAGAGCCAGCACATCCTTGCTGTGTTCCTGCCCAAGCCTGTCCTCCAGCTGGTGAAACCCCAAGGCAAACACACAGGTATGGTCAGCCAGTGTGGGTGTGTGACCCCAGCCCTGCTGTCAGGCTGCTGGGCAGGGCGGGATCAAGTAGAATGTGCTCTAGGGAAGCTGCACAGAAAGTTGGAAGGGTTTTGGAATTTTGTTGAAAAAATTTACCCTTGGATCCACGTTAATTTATATAAATGTTAACTTTATTCTGTAGGTAAAAAGAGGAATGGATCAGAATGAGAATGGGTCAAAATATTTTCTTTGCAAAAACTGATTTTTTAATCCTTATGTATTTTAGGGAGTACCATCATCCTATAGTTAACGATAATAGAAAAGTTTTAATATTTTGATGGTATGATAATTTGTCTATCAAAACAAATCCAGTTGTATATTTACAAATTTGTTTTCTTTTAATTTAGGCATATAGATATTCAATTTTAAAAACACACAACTAATTATTTAGGACAATATATTGCTCTAAAACAAGATCTATCTTATAATATTATATTGTGGTAGAGAGAATATTTATTGAAATACAAATAGGAGTATATTTTTACATTTTATCATTATTTAATGGTTGTTAAATCAGCTTTCAACAATTTACAAAGTAATTGAATGTGAATTATAAATATATTTTAAGAACCCAAGACTCAAATCTCTTTAGGAATAACAGTTACCTGGCCTTTTCTACAAAGTTACCAAAACATTAATTTGGAAATATCTTTTCTTCTCCTAATCACTATTATTGAGTTATTGTATTCCAGGGGAGAGAGTTTATTTTGTATTTTTTTGTGGAATTGTTATTCATATAAGCTTAATCATAAGTGAAGATAATGTTTTTGATTAAATATAAAGTATGCCTTAAGTAAATGTATTAATATATTGCATATTTATACATTTCTTTTAATATTTTTATCTATGTACATATAATGTGTACCTATTTCTGAGAGTCTCAGATAAAGTTATTTTAACTGTCTTATTTCAGATGATCATGCTTTCATTCTCTTAGGTTTCTATATTATGTAACGATGAATGTTTCCATTTTTTAAATGTTTTTAACTATGCCTTATGAGACATTGCAGAAAGGTCCTGGTGAAATGAGTGAGGAGGAAGCAACATACGAGGAGATCAAATTGCCCAACTCAGAGATACAGGACAGTAGATGCCCAGCTCAAAAAGGGAGAGGTAGTTTTGTTTTACTGCTTTGCTGATTTTAAATAACATTATCGTATCAAGTGAGAAAAGATGAAATCATGACGATTGTGTCTAAATGTCCCTAATATTATATACCTGATTCTTTATATTGAGGGTTACATTTAAATGTAATATTTGATGATGTTTGCGATCACAGAAAATGATATTAATTTGAAATTCCAGTAAAACTCCATTTTGTTTTAATTCTGAGGGCTCTGCTCTGTACAGTGCTTACATTTTTTTTTTTTTTTTTTTTTTGCTTTTGCTTTTGCACAGAATTACCATGGCCTTTCATTGCAATAAGTCTGGGAATTTTATGTTTTTTTCTCCTGCTGACAGCCGCAGGCTTAGGAATTATGTGTGAGTATCAGGAACATACATTTCTTATTGCAACAATGAGCCAGGATGAAAAACGAGATACTGAAACTACTGAACTTCTGCTGAAACTTTGGAAACTACAGAGTCCTGTGGAAATGTTAGTAGTCACGATGGTGTGCACGGTAATATTGACACTGATGATGATTTTATGAATTTGTTGTTAGTTTTCTTTTTTTACCATACAAAATGGTGTTAGTGGCCCTAAAATATAAAAATTTTGCTAATATGTATGATTTACATAAATGTTAGAACTTATCTCTTTCTCTAGGGTGCATTTTTCTATGTAACAGTAAAATTCAGAGAATCTTTGAGTATTACATTTTTTTGAATATTACATCCTTTATTATAAACATTACAATAATGCTTAGATCACAAAGGAGAATGAAGTTCATTTATTTTGTATATGTGATTAAATGTTATCCATCAGTTTTAATATAGTTTTATGAATTGAAAACTTTTAACACACAACCCTTGCTTTCAATCTTTTTCCTGATGATAATTCTTTAGCTCATTCATTCAACAAGCAATTATGAGTTTCTCCTAAGGCTAGAAAATGTGTATGGCACCAAAGACAGAAGTAAAAAAGTCAATTTGCAATGATCTCAGTGTAAATGGGAAGTTTTTCTTTTAATGAAGCAGTTTTTAAAAGAAATTATTACTAGTGGCAGAATAATGGCATGAAGAAATCAGAAGAATAACAACATCCTGAGTTCAAGAAAGCATTCCTGTAGGAGACAGTGCTGATCTGATGTAAAGGACAAGTAGGAGGGGGTCAGGAGCCTCAGGGTAGCGAATACTCATCCAATTAGAGAACAACATGAACAAGGGACAGATTTATGTTAGAAAAAAGATAGTTTTTGGTCAAATGAAAAAAGTGGCTAGAAGTAGGTTTAGGTAAGTATGTAACTCCATGAAAGTCTTTTATATCATGTTAGGAGATATTAGTTTTTCCCTAAACACAAAGAAAATATTGGGATATTTATATGAGTGAACAGCATATCTCACTTAAGGAGATAGGGATTTTGGAAACATTGGTATGATAGGCTGGAAAATGGTGGGAGATAAGATAGGGACTACTTTAGGGAGTCAGAAGTCTGAAAATGACTATAAGAGTTAATGTCATGAAAAGAATAGTGGAGGTTAAGGAACATATATGCAAAAAAGTGAAGATACTCTTTTGATTGAAGTGTGAGGAAAGCAGGAAATCAGTTATGTCACTTGGTATCAAGTGTACACACCTGGGTGAATGTATTTCATGAATTTGTAGAAAACACAAGAGAAACATTAGACCATGGTTTCCTTGTTTTGTATGCTTTGTATGTGAGCAATAATAGGAAAGATTGAGGTGCTTGTGGCCTGTCAGTGGAGATTACCAGAGAAAATAAGATAGGTTTGTATCTCGAGAGTGAGTTTTGAAAATACAGATAGACCCTCAACATTTACTGGTGTGATTAAATGTCTGTGGATCAAGAGAGATGCCTAGATTAGAAGGATGATTGTGGATTCATTAATTAAATAGAACAAGTATTTGAAAAGAATGTAGAGAAAAGCAGAAGTCAGATCTTGGGAAGAATGAAAAACAGGGAGAGATGATGCTAGCAAAAGGTTCTTCTTAGAGTAAATCAACTCTTAGACATATGTAGATGATGAGACAAGATTTGAAAAAATGTGATGTAATGATTAGACAAGGAGAAGAGAAACCAGGCATTGGTGAGAGTAGGTGAGAGATTGAGAGGGTTCCACATATTACAGGCAGATGAAGTGATATAGTAGTCAACAGAGCACATGTGGAAGAGTTTTTAGAAAAAGTACTATTTTTCCAAGCTTTTGACATTTTTTTGTACAGTTAAAAATATCCATGTGAGTTCTTTTCCTCCTTATAGTCACTGAATCAATTGTGAACTTACACTAAACATAGAATCAAGTTCCTTTGGTTAGCTCTGAATACAAATACTAAGGAACATACTTAATAGTTTCCCAAGCTTTGAAATCTTCACTTGATGGGTGGATGGCTTAGAGATCAGTTAATATTTTTTTTGCAGATTTATTGTTTCTGTTTTCCTAATGTTGATTACTGTTTTTACATATTTTAAAAATGTATAGCTAGTTATAGTTTTATTTAAAATTTCTACTTTTTGTCTTGTCACTTGATAATATTTTTACCTTGTATTAGTCTATTTAGCAAACATCATTTTCTTTGCTATATAAAATTAGACTAAATTGTTATAAAGTGATCTATTAAAGACATCTATAATGTTATGATTGTATGAATTGAAGTTTTTCAGTGTTATTCTCAGTGCAAAGTACAAGAACAGAAACACAGAAATGTTTCCTCACCAGCAACTGAAGATGACTCAGTTGTACCAACTAGTACAGGTATGTACTGAATACGTAAGCTGACAGTTTGCTGATTTTTTTTTTGAATCTCTCCCTTCTGTCCCATTTCAATATGTCACTTAAAAATATAAACTTTGTCAGGACCTTTTAATTTTTCTTATCTTTCTCATAAAGTTTATTTATCTATGATAGCTAATTGAAGACTTCACTTTCACAGAATAAGTAGCCTCTAGTACATTGTCTTACTATTTGATTCTTTGAGTAATTTATGCTTGTGGATGTATGATCCCAAGTACAGATCCCTTTGAATCAGTACCATTCACATATATTCACTTTGATTGAATTTTCCCTTTAGGGAGAAGCGCTCCATATCACTGCAGTTTATTTGTACTTGAGAAGTCAAGATTTCCCAGTGTGATATTACCAATAGCTTTGGGTCTCTCAAAGACCATCTTGGCCCCCACATTATTCTTACCTACAGAATTTGGAGATGAAATATCCTTAAACATAGAGATTTTAGAATACAAGGAAATCACCTATTCTCTGTTTCTTCAGACTGTAGTAAGCAATGAAATGCATATAAATACAGTCTCTAAATGGTCTTGATGATGGTGGCTTTTGTTTTCAAGAGAAAATCTGTGATGGATGTTTTGGAAAATGGAGCTGCTGTGGGAAAAACTGCTACTATTTTTCCAAAGATGTGAAAACTTGGAAAGAGAGTAAGAAGTCATGTGAAGGACGTGCTTCTACTCTCATTAAGATCGATGATGAAGGGGAGCAGGTATGCTTATGCTTATTTTATTCAGCCTAAGTGCTTTATAAAAAGTTCTGTGTTTTGAGTTAGAATAATTGTTTAGAGTACTTCCTCCAATATTATTTGACTGATTGGTTGGCAACACTTGTACTGGTGCAGATTTAGCTCCAAAAAGGGGACCCAAATGGAACAAGACCTGGAAGAGTCATTGTTTTAATTAGGAGAAATAGCTTTGCTGTGGGTGTTCTGTAATAATTATCAGTTTTTTCATTTTATGGGTTATCTTCATGTCTCATTGTACATCATACTGTTCAATATTTATTATTTTGTGCTTAAGTAAACATTTAGCAGTGAAATTAATATACTTGATATTCATGTTGCTTGATAATGATGCATACTGGAAACATTACAATGCAATGTTCCTTGAAATAAAACAGAATAAAAACAGAATAATAAAGGAAAACTGCCTTTGGCATTATGAGGAGTCTAAAAGAAAGCTTCTCATCATACTGAAGTGTATTCTTCAACTATCAATATTACGAAGGGATCACACTTCTCCATAAAGATGAGCCAGCCACTTTCTTTTTTTTTTTTTTTTTTTTATAAATTTTATTGTTATATTCCCCATACAATTGCAGCCCCCCATTCTGACCCCAATCCCTCCCCTCCCGCCCCCGCCCCCCTAAAAGTGTCTCTGGTTCATAGTTTTTTGTTGATTTTGATTTTCACTTTCTTATAGTTTTTCATTTTCCTGGTCCATTATTTAAGTTTTCTAGATTCCTGCTATGAGTGAGACCATCCGGTATTTTTCTTTTTCTTTTTGGCTTATTTCGCTGAGCATGATCCCTTCCAGCGTCATCCATGTTGCAGCAAATTGCATGTGTTTATCTTTTTTGAATGCTGAGTAATATTCCATGGTATATATGTACCACATCTTCTTGATCCAGTCATCTATTTTTGGGCATTTGGGTTGTTTCCAAAGCTTAGCTATTGTAAACAGTGCTGCTATAAACATAGGGGTGCAGGTGTTCTTTGGAATTGATGTTTCTGTGTCCTTTGGGTAAATACCTAGGAGTGGAATTGCTGGGTCATATGGAAGCTCTATGTTTAGTAGGTCCAGAAATCTCCACACAGCTTTCCACAGTGGTTGGACCAGTTTGCACTCCCACCAACAGTGCAGAAGAGTTCCTTTTTCTCCACACCCTCGCCAACATTTGTTGTTGCTAGTTTTTTTAATATGTGCCATTCTCACTGGTGTAAGATGGTATCTCATGGTAGTTTTGATTTGCATTTCCCTGATGACAAGTGATGTTGAACATTTTTTCATATGCCTGTTGGCCATTTGCATTTCCTCTTCAGAGAAGTTTCTTTTAAGCTCTTCTGCCCATTTTTTGACTGGATTATTTTCTTTGTTGTTGTTGAGTCTCATCAGCTCTTTGCAGATTTTTGTGATCAGTCCTTTATCATTAGTGTTGGGTGCAAAAATGTTCTCCCAGTTGGTGGGGTTTCTCTTTGTTTTTGTTATTGTCTCTTTTGCTGTGCAAAAGCTCTTTAATTTGATATAGTCCCAGCTGTTTATCTTTGCCTTCACTATCACTGCTTTGGGTGATGTGTCTGTAAAGATGTCTTTGATGTGCAAATCACGTAGTGTTTCGCCTATATTTCCTTCTATATATTTTATGGTTTCAGGTCTTATGTCTAGTTCTTTAATCCATTTTGAGTTGATTTTTGTGTATGGTGTGAGGTGGTGGTCAAGCTTCATTCTTTTGCATGTAGCGACCCAGTTTTCCCAGCACCATTTATTGAACAAACTTTCTTTGCTCCAATGCATAGTCTTTGCTCCTTTGTCAAAGATTAGTTGACCATAAATCTGTGGGTTTATTTCTGGATTTTCTATTCGATTCCATTGGTCTGTATGTCTGTTCTTGTTCCAATACCATGCAGTTTTGATGATTATGGCTTTGTAGTATAGTTTGAAGTCTGGGAGTCTGATGCCTCCATTCCCTTCTTTTTTTTCAGGAGAGCTTTGGCTATTCGGGGTTTTTTGTGATTCCATATGAA